GTGTAAATGCTTCGTCTATGTAATGTGATAAAGTGAAGTGAATATCCATCCATCCTACCGGTTACCAATAACAGTCGTTGGCATCCTATTAAAATTGATTTTTTCTAAATTCGGGCGTCAAATCAGCTTGGTTGATAACATAAATTCAGATTTCGTTTGTTTTTAGTTTCTAAATCTAATTTGGACATGAAAATAATTCATTAATAAAACCATGTTTATTGAATTAACTTGATCCATTGATGCAATTAAAATTTATGCTTATTTTTATTAAAAAACTTCGTTTAATGTGTTTGAGCTTCAACACATTAATATGATTCATGAATTATCCACTAAATATTCCACATTAATTGTTACCTGCGTCACGCGCATAAGTCTAATGAATTAAAGGAGAGAACTAGCGTTTAACGGAAACCATTAGAAGATATATTAAAAAAAAAAATCATTGTCAAGCAATTCGATAAGCTTACAGCACGATTGCGGTGGCTTTAACAACAACAAAAATGGCATAGTATTTGTCCCGTCCAAGTAGGCCCATTAATCATGTATTTGGTGCTTGTCACCCAAAGGGTATCAGACAACGACATCGCCGTTTTGTCATCTTAGGTGGTAAGAGACGTCAAGAATTGTTTTGAACGGTGGAAACGAAAATGTGATGCATGTAAAAATCTGTATCCACCCCCAAAATCAAGGTGGTTATCCCATCCATGGCTGTCCCTTTCGTTCTTTGAACTAATCACAATCAAATATTAAATTAACGCTCCTGTGTGATGTAGCTAAGCAAGTCAGCGGCAACAGCTCCCATAGGGGATTACCAGGTTATTGCCTGTGTTACCGTTAAGGCTTCAACCCAGATTTTTAAAATATTAGAATTTTTTTGATAGTATAATTAAATTTAGTAAAATAATTCAAAGCCCTAATATAACACTTTACTTGGATAAAATTTTAAATTAAATAATGTAAAAATTATCTTAATATAAAATTATTATCACAAGAAAAAAAAAGTTAGATTCATTTTAATTAACTTATTAAACTTACAATCTCAATTATACTAGTGTAATTATTATTATTTTTATCATGTGATAAAAAATTTAAAACTTAATTTATAATCAACCTAGTGTTTAACGGTAAAATAAATAATATTAAACCAAAAAATGAAAACAAAGGGCATTAAAAGAAAAAAGAACACTAGTTATGTGGGTTCGAGATACGCTAGCTCTAGTTTATATATATATATATAACAAGGCTCTCTTTTTTTAAAGAGACAAAACCACATGTTATCTGAAAGAAAACAGTGTTCTCACTTGGAATTAAGCCCGCAGCTTTCAGACACTAACCCGAGCACTAACTCATTTGGCTATAGAACAAAGATACTTTTTTCAATAATTAATATACTATTTACATCAGTTATTTTACTTGTTTTGATAATTAGTGCTTTTGTGAGGTGGTGTTGGCGACAAGGACTAACTGCCTGTTAGAATGAGGGGGCATCGTCAGTTGATATATTGTGGAGTTCACACTTGGTACGAACATATACTTCTGCTTAGTTTATTTGCTTCTAGAGATATCCTTGGAACCGTCAGTGAGTGCCCATAACTAAGCCTGTATTTTTCTAGTCTTAAAAATACTTACAGTCTCTATCATGCGGTGATATGGTTTTAGACCTTGCAATTATAAAATGTCAGGATATTGCCCAGAAGAGTTTACTGGACTAAGCTCTCCTGCAAGATCTGACCAAAGAAGGCCAAAACAAATTGAACATGTTCATGTACTCCGTCTCAAAATTGAAGTCAACTTTCTCCTCGAAGGAAAACTCAAATTGAGTTGCCTAACATTCTGTGCACCAATAGAAATTGAAGTTCTTAGTTGATGTCTAAAAATTCAATTAGCCTGCAAATAAGGCTTGTGGGTTAGGCAATTAGTTAATTAATTGATCCTAACCATTTTTTTTATTTTTTTAATTAAGATAATTAATAATTTATACTTGATTTTTAACAAGTCAAAATTACTCGTAGCCTGTACTTTCAAAAAATCTTTTTAAATAAAGGTAAAAATTCTCTGACACTTAAATAATTTTTTTTTAAAAAATAAAAAAATATTATTTGAAAATATATTTACATTAAAATATAAAAATTATAAATACTTGTTTTAAAAATTTTATGGTATATTTATAACTCAAATTTTGTTTTTTTATGAAGAGAGGGGTTTACAATGTAATTATCTTGATATTATTTAATAAAGAATAAATATCTCTTGTATTTATATTCATGTTTAATAAGAATATAGTGGGTCATTGAATAAGTTCTATACACCTAACAATATATAACAAAATTTATGAAAGTTAATTTCCTTAGCGAGGTTAGAGGAAGGAAGGAAGGCCATTAAAGAATCGGACACAAGGGAGTTTTTAACGTAGTTAAAACTAGGTTTATAAGTTTACAGTATGAACGCAAACAGGAATATATTCTGTTAGTAAACAAGAACCAGGAAATTGAATTGGCTACTTGTGAACTAAATTAAAGAAAGATATTTTAGTTACAAAGAAGAAAAAAGGGAAAATTGCATTTTAAGGGTTACTAATCAAGATCCCAGTTGCTCACTGGACCAGCAGTTTGCTCGCGGAAGTGGGCCTTCCGTATCAAACTTTAAATCGAAACTAGAGAATCGTTCCATTTCAGGCCATCCACTTTAAACCAGGCTTTCTGACGTAATTAACGATTTGCTTCATGTTGTCTACACGCTAGCCGAGTAGCAGATGACGAAAAGAACGGGCAAATCTAATAAAAAAGCCCAACCTATTTTTGTCTCAATTAGGTCCTCAACATCTATATCTTAATAAGGATAAATTCTGGGTACTGAATTAACAATATAAATGCATGGACAAGCTATAACGCATCGTAGAACTCTAGCAAAAGAAAACTAGGATCTACAGATTCTATATTGCTATATTCATAGAAAATGATGTAGATATTATATAAGCATATGAAAAAGAAAGAGAAACGTGCACGCACCAGACAGGTTTTGCTTCTCTTGTAGTTTCCTAAGAAGAGATACAATTACAACAAATATTCACGTAATCACAAACACATAATGTTACCAGATCACAAGTCATAAACTTGCTTGCCAGTGAACTTGACCTCAATTGGGCTAGCATTCTTTCCGATAGACCTGAAATTCTGGCCGACACCTTGGCGCCCCGGGTTCACCTTCTCAGGGTAGACACCATCCTTGGGATGCAAGTACTGAACCTCTCCATTGGGGAACACCCTGTAAAACTGGTACTTGATCTTGTACTTAGACCTTAGCCTAGTTCCAAGGGCCAAGCACTGCTCTTTCCTGGCCAACTTGAGCAAGTTAGGGCCTTCCCTCATAATGGCAGCACCCCCAGTTGGCATTTCAAATATTTGTTCCTTGGGGGAGTCCCATGTGATCACATAAAACTCCTCTACCTGGGCTTTCCTCAACAGTCCACCGGTGCTCCCACCAAAAATTGGTGATGGGGTACTTGGGTCCAACTCCGGCGGAGTAAATCCCACTGGAGCCTCTTTTGTAGCTGTTTCCTCTGCAGCAGCAACCTTAAAGCTTCTTTGTGCCTTAACATTAGAGATTGGTAAAAAGGTTGATTGTTTCCATGGAACAATGGTTTGGTTGCTTGATTTTAGGGTGGAGAGGGTCGTGGGGGTGAAGAGAGAGGCTTGAGTTGCCATTGCCATGAAAGATTGGAGATTGGAAGGTGTTGAGTGATATTGTTGATTTTGGTCTGCAGGGGCGTCTAGATTCAATAAGATAGAGGAGAAAAGATTACTGATCAAGGTGCTTGTGTGATTTCAGATGGGTGGTGTATGTGCGTGAGTTTGGATAAGGCAATATGGAACGGACCAGTTAAATTTCTTGAGCTCTGACACGTGGTCTCATCAACATCTTGTGTGTGAGAGTTTGGATAAGATATGGACTGCGCCAATTAAAATTCTTGAATTTGATACGTGGGGCTCACCAACATCTCACTCCGTCATTTCCTTCTCTTAGCAGCATCTGTTTTTGTTTTTTTTTTATTTACGTTTGTATGTTCGGTTAGTTTATATGTGTTTTAATTAATTTTTATAAATTTATAAATAAATAAATAAATAATATTTTAGTCGTTATCAATTCCAACAATCAAAGAACTTAAATATAAAACTAAAACAAACCTTTTTGGATCCAAGCTTTTTATTACTGGACCAATAGTTGGTTGCAATGTATTAGATGTACATAATTATACATTTAACTGCTTTAACAATGCCCATTTCTAGCTTAAAAAGAATTTCACTATGTATCTAGTAATAATAAAAAATCAACCTTGAAAGCAATTTCAGTGAAAGTATGGAAACAAGTCGTAACTATTTTTTGTTGAAATTAAAAAAAAAATAATTATTTTTTAATATTTTTAAATTATTTTGATGTGTTAATATTAAAAATAGATTTTAATAAATAATAAAATATTATTATTATTATTTATATTTTTAAACTATGAACATTTTGAAAAACAACTTTCACGCTATCTTAATTTTCTGTACAAGTCTCATGATTTCAAAGTGACTTTTAACTCTTCAATGTTTTTCTTTTAATATCATAAAACAATTATAACCAGTGTTACTAGGAATATATTTGTTTTCATGTTTAAAAAGCACTTTAGATTTTTTTTTAATTTATTAAGCTTTAAATTATTTTTTTATTTTAAAAATTTTATTTTTATGCTAACATATCAAAATAATCTAAAAATATTAAAAAATTTATTTTTAAAAAAATTCATTTATTTTAAATATTTTTATAAATACCCTCTAAAAATAACACGGTTAAATGATAAAAATAAAAATAATAATAACAATGATAAAAGAGGATCATATTCATAGAGGACCCTACACAAAGATAAAAGAAACAATGGACCGGTGATAGTTCTTAATTAATGGAAAGCCCAAAGGTCATAGACCCTAAATCCACAATAAAAGAAATAGACCCGAAGGCCCAGTAACATTAGACGAGGGAAACAAAATTGGCAGCCTAGGTGCATCATGGTGAAACTTTCAATACTCAGTATTCGCGCTCTTTACACCTGTCACTTCCGTCCTGTAAGAGATCAGCAGATAGCGCTGGAGGAGGGAGATGAGAGGGGGGCGGGGGGGAGAGCAGCCTCGAATCTGGCATAGCAATCAGCAAAACAGAGTCATCGCTCATTCCTTGTTAATTCTGCAAAAGCATGGAAATATGGTTCAACTTCTGAATTTAAGTCCAGATTGCAAAACTGGTAAAAATCATCATCTCTTTTATTTTACTGTTTCATTTCCCTATACAATACCACTCTAGTCAAGTCGCTCGGATGCAGATATTTATTTTCTGTGTTGTGATTTTCTGTCAGATCCTTGACATATATTCACCTATTCAATCAAGTGTTCACTCCATTTAAGTTGTGATTTTTCTGCAAATTAATTCAATTTGCTTTTTAAATTTTGATTCTAGAAAAAGTCATATATAAATATTTTTATTTAAAAATAAATTCTGATTGAAATTAAAATTTTGTTATAAAATAAAATCAACATTTTGTTTCATTCTAACTTGTGATGTCTATTTTATTTTATTAAAAAAAAACATTTTAAATAATTATTGTTAAGCATACTTCTAACTTAACTAATTTTTGTTATGGATTTATTTATAAAAAATAACTTTTAAATTGTGATTCAAAGTCAAAAGTTTATTTGTATAAATCACTTCAAATGGACTCTCAATTATTATTGGTATAAGGATCCTCTCAACTTGAGGTATCTTTTTTCTTGTTTTTTGATAATTAAATGTGTTATTTCCCAAAAGATTGAAAGCTGTTGAGTTTCTGGATCATTTCTAAATTTCATTGAAATTTCTTGACAAGGCCTTTTTTTCTATGCAATCAAAACCATGAAAAGAAATAATATATAAAAAAGTACGAAAGAACCAACTAAATTTTTAAACAATTCAGAGTTTAAATACTGACTTGCCAATGATTCTCTCAAGCTTTTTGATAAAAAAAGAAGAAGAAAATTTAAGCACTCAATGTTTATATATATATGTATGCTCAGGGATTTATGACTTTTGAATTTAAATTAAACTGAAGTTAGTCCTTAAATTTTTATATATATGTAAAAAAAAATATAGTTTGAGATACTGAATTAAAAAAATAATAATAAAGGTGAGAGGCCAAGTCTAGTTTGATCCAAAGTTAAGTGTAATTTTTTGGTCATTTACCTTTTTTCCAAAGGAATGGTTTTTGCTGGCATTTTACCTGAACTCTGGATTTTAATACTCAATGTTTATATAGGAAAAGGTACAACACACAATTCTTGTTATTTGTAGATGCAGATACACTTAGCTTTGATACAAATCATCAATCAAAGAAAAATTTGAACCCAAAAAAATTTAGATGGCCACCTTTCACTTGACCACCACAACATTTTTGAAACCATCTATTGATTGCCTAAAAGAATAATGCCGTGTTGCTAGTTTGATCCAATAGATTAGATTGAGATACTGTTAGGAATGCCCCTGCCTGTGAGTCCACCCTCTCTGGAGTAATCTGTGGTGTTAGGAAAGAGTAAAGTGTAAGGAACTTCTACAGGCCCCACTCTGTTTTTCCATCTCTTGTCATTGTTCATATCCATAATTTTGTTTTCAATTTCTATCAGCTTCCTTCGAAATCTCTCAAATGCCGCCAGTGGTTCACTATCCAAAGTCCATTCAGTAGTATCTCTCTGTCCAAGGTAAACCTCATCAGTTGAATGTCTTGATAAAATCTCAATCAGTGATATACCTAGGAGGGTTTGTAGCTGGGCTGTGATTGTTTTCAGGTAGGCTACATCTGGATTTTTCTCAAGCTCAGCATACTCAGGGGTCCCTGGTTCAGGCATGAATCGACGGCTTAAGGATGGACGGTTAGGGAGGTAGCCAGCATAAGGGTATTGCCCAAAATTGACAGCTGCATGGAGGGCTGAAGCAATCCATATGATAATGGTGCATGTTTGTGTGACATCAACTAGCGTCTGCATCTCAGGCCACCACGGTTCATCTTTCTTGTCACCATGGCCTACATTACAGATCTCTGTCCACCATGACTGGAGTTCACTGTCTCCTTGGATCAAATCATCTGTGGGGTAGTAGAAAGCACAATATTCCTTAACCCACGTCTCAATTGCGGACCAGATTTCTAGCCCATCAACAGCATAGGGATAATCTTCTATCAGAAGTCTGAGGCCATGTGGCTGGCTTGAATCTGGAACGGCCACTCCTCTGGATGATATTGAAAGTTGGATCAATTTTATTTTTGCTTTAGATAAAAAGTGAAGATAAGAGTGTATTTTTAGGTTCCGAGCTTTACCTCTTGAGGAGATCTGTGGGGAGTGCCTGCTCAGTGAAAACCCAGTTCTTGTAAACAAAAGAAGACATTTCCATTGCATATTTGGCTGGGAAAACAGTTTTCTCCAGTATTCCACCAGCATTGATGAGGATCTGCCTAGCCAAGGCATTTATATTCATTGTATCACGAAAATGAGGATGTAAAAGCTTATAGATTGGGTGAAGGACACTCAGTTGTCTGTTTGTGGCTATCACAAATGGCTCTATTACAGCATGAGTGTTCAGCCTGTAAATATGAGCAGAATCGTTCAGGTGTACATTCTATACAAGAACAAGCTTTTACTTTATGCCATCATGAAAGCCCTTTTGATTTGAAATCATACCAGTGGCTAACAAGCTGATGGTATCCAGAATCATTTACAGCAGCATAAGCTTTGGCCAGTTGCCATACTGAGCCTTCAACACCATGTTCTGCTGGGGTGAAAACCTTGCTGACAGCACCATGATGGTCCCCTTGTGGATGTGGTAGACTCAACTCAATTGCCAATGGCTTCAATGTCCCGTCATCTTGAAGCAACAGGATTGTTCTAGAGGCATAAGTCTTTGTGCTGGTTGAGTTTATTCGCCTCAGGTATGGCATCAATGCATCATGATGATCCAATATAAATAGCCTGTTGCGTTTGATTGCCTATTTCAGAAAAATTGAAATATTCATTTTTAAGGGAAGCAACTTCAGTGTTTCTTGATTCTAGTATTGAATATATATTATAGGTAAGGACATGAAAGAAACGAATCATCATTAGTACTTGTACTACGGTTAGGCCATCCATGTTCTCTTCTATTAACTCTTTTCGTATTGAGCTGTTCTGATTTCCATATACTTTAGGGTCTAGCTTGCTAGCTGGGGGGAAATCCTGCAGATATATTTTAGTAATTTATTAAGCTCTAAGGGTCATAGAAACATAAAGCATCAGGTAATCTAATGCAGGTTGTGTTTTACTTGAAGGCGACTGATGATAACTGGGTTGACCCCAGCAAGCATTTCCCGTGCAAACTCTTCATCTGTCCTCCAAGCAGACTTGTCCGCTGAAACCATACCATGAAAACTTTATATTTCGAAGTAAAGTAGACATGAAATGAAATTTTAACTATTACAAGATAACGGGAGGGGGGGGCAGATTTATCAGTGCACCTTTGATAACATCAGGCTTTGGGAATTTGAAGAGCCGTTCTCCATCATTACGAACAAGTTCCTTGAGCATCTCCCACGGGATGTGGTCTCTTATTTTACTGATTGTTGGCCCATTTGGTAGCTTAATTCCCCCTTCATAGAGGTTGAGTACATCCTCAAAGGTGTCGAATTCATTAATGGTTTTGTCACATAAAGATGTGGTCTCTGGGAGCAATACCTGAGCCAGGGATTTCAGAGCATAGGCAAGAAAATCTGAAAACTTCAAATGCCCAAACCGTTCATCTCTAGGAACATAGATGTCCAGACTTATAAGAGGCAACCTTTGCTCACTATGAGGGTCTGTTACAATGGTAAAACTGAATTGTTGATTGAATTGACAAAAACGCATGCATCTAACATTCTTAAAAAGATCATTCAGCCAGGAGATATTTTCTATGCGTTATATGTTTTATCCTGTTAGAAATTCTGAATCCCTTGGTAGAGTGGCTATTTATATACATGCATGCATGTCGAAAGTGATTGAGTTTAGGTTAATTTCTAACCATTTTTTGTTTTTCTTCGACCCGTTCTTCCTCTTCGGGGATATGGATACTCTTCTGTTCCGCCAAGAATAGGGCGAGCATATTCTTCACCCTTGTCTGGACTCCCCAAATCGTTGTAGTAATCATAGTCATAGACTCTATCCCATTCCTTCAGCTCACCTTTTCCATTTCCACGGAGATTTATAAGCTCTTCTTCTCGATACAACCGCAATGGCTCAGGTGTCTGACATGGAAGATATGCCTAATGCAAAATCCTTCAAGGAGTAAGTGAATCCACCTATTCATCCAAAGCCTATCTTGACACGTTCTAAAAAAATCTGGCACTAGAAGTAGGCCTAACACAAATCATGAAGGAACAAAAAGTAGGAATAGGAATTGATAGTGAAAACAAAAAAAAAATAAACCATTTTAATACCTTTATGAAAACAGTCATGATCGAAAGAAAATTTGAACTCAAATAGAGAAAACGATAGTCAGGGAAACTGCTGTTCAAGCAGGAAAAAAAACTTTGACCTGTGATTTCGCCTAGATATCGAGGTTTTCAATAGTTGAGCAAGTATTAAATCTACGGTCCAGGATGTCAATGAAACGTACTCCCTGCGTCTAGATGGCAAGACTAACTATACGGCCCCAATAAAACATAATGTAGGAGCACACATTCTCGGTATTTACTATAGTTATCCAAAATCCAGTTACCTTGTTTGAGAAAAACACACGATCATACTTGTAACGATGCGTCGGATAAACCCAGGAATTGCAGATGAAATGTACCCGACCGTACCCAGGAATATCTTCTAAAGTGACTGTCTTAAGATAGAGCTGGCTATGGTGATGGTTTTTGATGATGATAGCCCCGGGAAAACCCATGCTTTCATCCCATTCGAAAGTAATTGTGAACATAGTCTCTCCAGCTGTTAGTGGTGTGATTGTGGCAACCCATTTCTCCAAGTATGCTACCTTGCCAAGCTTCCCTCGCAAGCCATCTGCTAACACACATAAACACCACAAAATCCCTAGTTTTAGCTTGATTAAACTCGATTATCATTTTATTATTGCACATTTTACTGGGAACAACAAACAGGAAAGGATATTTAAAGCTAACTTCAAGAATCATGAACATGATTTCTTTATCCGGTATGTAAACATTAACTCCTTCACCGTCACTTTCTCAAAATAAATAAATAAAAGAAATTGCTCAACTGATAAAATAAAATAAAAACAACTGTTATCCCCGAAGACCAGAATTTGAAGCGAAACTAATAAAAAAATTTCCCATCATGTGTTTTTTCCTTTTCATTTGTCTGAATAGAGAAAAGTGAACGGTGGCCGGAGGATACTGGTGAGGTTATTTGTTGTTTGATTAAAAAAACAAAGGGTAATTTGTCTTTATTGAAGAACCTTCACTACCATATTCCCTTTCCCTCTAAACTTCCGGACACTTACGCCATTCAAGAGACTTAAGAGAGGCCGAGAGAGGGAGGGAGGCTAACCTGGGTCTTGATGAACAGCACTGACAAGCTGCATAGATACACCTTTGCCCAACAACTCATGGACCCGATCAAGAAATGAAGCTTTTATATCAGTGAAGTCCAAAACGTTCTTTTTCATCAACACCACTGTGCCTTTGATCTTCCTTCTTCCTTCCACCTCATTGCCTGCGGCCTTTGTCTTAGGCTGCGTGTAGAACATTTCCATTACTTTCTGCATCATCTCCGAGACAGGGCAGAAACCCATTGAAAAAGCTCAACAAGAAGAGTGGCCAAGATTCTTAGAGTGAGGCGATGTTAAAAGGGATAGCACCTTGAAGCCAAGTTTATAGGATATGTAACGGGACTGGTTGGCTTTCTGTCTTGTGTGGCGTGTCTGATGCAATATATAGTGATTTCTTATTTGGGTTTCTTGATTGTTTTATAATCTTGAGGAAGGGACTTAAAATACAATCGATGGTGACGACTAATAGTGGGACCGAAAGGAATTTAAGGCTTTATCTCTTTGTTGATCCAGAATTAAGGAACCAGATTCCAACATTAACCTTTTTTATTAAGAAAAAAGGTGTACACATTACTTCAATATGTATGAATGTAGTAACCATCTCAGTCCATGCCTGATGCATCTCCCTAGATTGTTAGATTATAATTCTAAGAGTTGATTCTTTGATGTCAGCCTTACCGGATTAAGTTGTTGTCATCTATACGTCCAACTTGTTTTTGAGAATTTCTTTTTTTTTTTTAATTTTTAACATTTTTAAATCATTTTAATAATTAATATTAAAAATAAAAAAATTTAAAAAATTATTATTTAGACATATTTTCAAGTAAAAAACAATATCTAATATACTTCTAAATAAACTTCAAACAGACCCTAAACATGTTTGTTTTTGGTTTTAAAATGTATCTTTAAAAATTTCTACTCTAGGGACACTGTACAAAAAGAAATAATAGCTGGGTATTAGATACATTGTGTTAAGGCTCTAGGCGCGGAGATGTACCAACAAAGATACATTGCCAAATTTAACCCCGTGATTGTCACTTTGTTTTTAAGGAAGTCTATTATATTTTATTTTATTTTATTTTATTTTTGAACCAATTAAGCTTTGCATCACGTTAATGCCAAGCACTCCTTTTATTATTCATACTCTTTATGATACATTTCAAGATTTGATCCTGAGACCTCTGGGCTGAAAATTTCAAATTTAATTGATTTTTAGTGCACTTCACTAAAGTTTTGTACACTGTCTTCTCTGTGTATAATGGTGCTGTGACCTGAATTAAATCTTGTGGTACGGGGAACAAGCGAGTCTAACAGAAGATTTCAGTTACGACTTGTGCGAGTCAAACACCTCGTTGCTGGGT